CGGCGGCCTGGCCGGGGGCTCCCCGGCGCTGTCCGTGGCCAGGCCCGCCGGAGGAAGCAGCCCCCCAGGCCGGCTGACTTCAAGCTGCAGGTCATCATCATCTCATCGGCTCCCGCGGCGTGGGCAAGACCAGCCTGATGGAGCGCTTCACCGACGACACCTTCTGCGAGGCCTGCAAGTCCACCGTGGGTGTTGACTTTAAAATCAAAACTGTAGAGCTAAGAGGAAAGAAAATTAGATTACAGATCTGGGACACAGCGGGTCAGGAGAGATTCAACAGCACTACCTCAGCTTATTACAGAAGTGCCAAGGGGATCATACTAGTATATGATATCACGAAGAAGGAGACATTTGATGATTTGCCAAAATGGATGAAGATGATTGATAAGTACGCTTCAGAAGATGCAGAACTTTTCTTAGTTGGAAATAAGTTGGACTGTGAAACGGACAGAGAAATCACTAGACAGCAGGGTGAAAAGTTTGCACAGCAGATAACAGGGATGCGGTTCTGTGAAGCAAGTGCCAAGGATAACTTCAACGTGGATGAGATATTTCTGAAACTCGTTGATGACATTCTAAAAAAGGTAAAATCAGAATATACATCATAAGAGTGTTTCATCTGAAACCTGTTGTTTCCTTTATTATTTTTTTGTTGAGAATTGTTTATTTAGAAATGAAAGACAGTGTAGTAGTTATGCTTAGGCTCAAGAACTAGGCTTACTTGTTAACTAGGACCAAGGCATCCAGGTTGCTATAGCAACAGCTGTTTCCCATCCAGGGGGGTTTGGTGTTCTTAGCGTTAACGTACAGCATATTCACTTATCCTTGAAATACAGTTTGGTGGAGTGACTTAAACAAGGTATAATAATGTGCCGTGTTTATTGGACATTTGCTTTTATTTTTTCCCATTTTCCCATAAGAATTAAGTTCAATACAGATGGTGGAGACCTAGCAAAGATGCAGAAGTCTCAGCTGAGAAGAGAACCTTTGGAACTTGCTTCTCTTCGGGCTCTTCCCCCTAGTGGGAACCTCTGACCTACACAAAGCCCTTTCCATGATGCTCAGTTGCAAGAAAATTGTTGGACAGCTTCACTGTGCAGCAGTAGTTTCTTCAGGCATCTTTAGGCTTACATTCAGAGATTTTTAGTAACGACTTTATTTATATTATTAGTAAGTGCAGTTTGCTCAGTTCAAACATAATTCGGAAGCGTCTAATAAAATGGTTGCTTATGTATTTGCCAAAAGAGGTTATTTCTTTCTTTAATAAGGATATAACTCCTTAGCATGAAGATCATTTTTTTACTTATTAATATATTAAGTTTTCATTATACTAAGTTATATGAAAATAAATGTTTATAAGGTTGATCTGATCTCTTCTGCCATAGAGTATTAAATAGGCTGGGCAGTGTTCATGTTGTGACATGAAGTGCCCTGAACCTTGGTTTTGTTTTTTTGGCTTAGTATTTTGATGTCTAATTAAACTTTGATGATCAGAAAACTTCATTAAACAATACTTTGTCTTTTATATAATTGTATGATTGGAAAGCATGTGTGTGCACCTTGTAAGATTAAAATGTAGTTGTCTTTAATGTTTATCCTTCAGATGCCTCTGGATATTTTAAGGAATGAGTTGTCCAATAGTATCCTCTCATTACAACCAGAGCCCGAGATACCACCGGAACTGCCTCCACCACGACCACATGTCCGGTGCTGTTGATTTGCTACTTTGGAGACAACGTGGAAACAATTCCTGGGATGGGGAAAGTTCTATCCTGCACTACAATCATTTTGACAATTTCCTTTCGCACTTTGTAAAAAAAAAAAAAAAAGACGCATATACTGACACATGTGATCAGTTCTTGTGCTCATCACACCTTCTCTCCAGGCACACTTCTCTACTTGCTGATATAGAAATCTCAGTAGTTCTTTCAGTGAGTAGGTGTGGAGACATACACACAAAGACAGTATGTGTGGGACATTCCTACAAAGACAGTTCTCTTAGTCTTTGTAGGAATGTAGTTCAAAAAGTTCATGGAAAAGTAGAATTGGAAGATAAAACGAATCTTTCCATGAACTTTTGGAAGTACCCTTGCATGTCCTAAAATGTCTACCTTGCCTTTACTCTTAGGTGATAGTTTAGCAAGCTGTAAAATTCTAAGTTGACAGTTATTTCCTCTGAGCACTTAAAAGATATTACTCCACTGTTTTCTTGCTCCTATAGTTCCTGATGAAATGTCTGTCATCAACTTGATTATTGCTCCTTTATAATGATCTGTTTTCGGGCCGGCCCCATGGTGCGCTCGGGAGAGTGCAGCGCTGGGAGCGCAATTGTGCTCCTGCCGCGGGTTCGGATCCTATATAGGAATGGCTGGTGTGCTTACGGGGTGAGCACGGTGCAGGTGACACCACACCAAGGGTTGTGATCCCCTTACCAGTCACGAAAAAGACAAAATAAAAACCAAAAAAATAAAAAAATAAAATAAAAATAAATGATCTGTTTTCCTCTCTAGTTATTATATAATCTTGTCTCTTTATGCTTGATGTTGTATAGTTTCACTATGTTGAGTTTAGATGTGGATTTACTTTTATTTATACTGTTGGTACATGGAGGCACTTTCAACTGTCTTTCTTCAATCCTGGGAAGTCTCAATTGGTACATTTTCAAATTTTGTGAAAAGTTACAAAATGTGGCTAGTGCAGAGGACGTAATAGTGCATCAATTGTACTCACTCTAATTACTGTTAATGTAAGTAAACTTAAGAGTTTTAAAACATTCTTTACCCATGAAAGAAAGTGTCCTAAAACTTTATTCTCCCACACCATAAAAACCTCACTCTTTGTGATCAAGGCAGCAGTCCACATTGTTGTCTTTGGACTCAGTGGTTTAAAACTAAAAGTGATTCTGACATTTCTGAACTTAAAACTTGAATGGGGTTTCCCTTTCTCCTCTCTTCCTCCTAGACATTCTATTCTGGAATCACATGTAAATATTTCATGGTCTATCTATAGAGTAATTCTAAATATTGAAAAATCAACATACTGGTTTACATTATTATAACTAAGACATTATTCACTACTGAGCCTGTGATAAATATGATTAAATTTCCTCACTGTAGCACATCTTATTTTCCAAAGATGGCCTCAACATTACTTCCCATCCGCCATACTCTCACAATATGATTTCGATGCTTTCTCTCCTTGAATCTGGTGGGCTCATGACTATGGCAGAAGTGATGCGATGTAACTACCAATATAGGTTATTAAAAAGCCATGTGCTTCCACCTTGTTCTCTTAGAATGCTTGCCCTTGGAAACCCCTGCTATGGACTGAATTATGCCCCCCCTCCCCCAATTCATATATCGAAGCCAGGGCTGGCAAGTTAGGTCAGCTGGTTAGAGCGTGGTGCTGATAACACCAAGGTCCAGGGCTTGATCCCTGTACCGACCACCTGACAAAAAACTAACAAAAAGAACCCAAACACATGTTGAAGTCCTAACCCTCAGTGTGACTGTATTTGGAGATAGGGCCTATAAGGAGGTAATTAAAGTTAAATGAGGTCATAAGGGTGGAGACCTGATATGATAGGGTTAGTGCCCTCATAAGAAGAGATAGCAGAGGGCCGGCCTGTGGCTCACTCGGTAGAGTGCGGTGCTGATAACACCAAGGCCACGGGTTCGGATCCCATATAGGGATGGCCGGTTCGCTCACTGGCTGAGCGTGGTGCTGACAACACCAAGTCGAGGGTTAAGATC